CCCTCTCTGGGTCTCTCTCCAGTGAGCAGTGACAGCTGGCAAATTAAAACAAAACAAAACAAAAAACAAAAACCATATGTAACATTGAAAAGACAAATACTGCTTTGTTATCCTCCCAGTTTCATCAGACTGAGAGAATCTTAGTAACACAGTCATTCACAAAAATGTCATAGCAGAAGAAGGCCTTCTTAACTTTTCTACTTAGCAGATTCCTTATCTCAGCCTATTTTTGAAATAATAGATATTTTACAAACAGTGGCAAATTAGAACTAAGTTTAGTTCATTGGACTTCTGTTTATACCATTTCATGTATATTAATCAAAACCTAATACAGGCCCAAGCCATGGTGACATACACTGTTAATACACTGGTCTATTGGCTGGGGTCACATGACAGGTCCACATTTGATCCCCAGTCCAATCAAAAGCCCAGGTGTGGTGGTAAGTGCCTGTATTCCCAAAGACTTAGAAAGCTGACATGGGTAACACAGAGAAACCCTGCCTAAAAAACTTGGGCATGGCGTATCTATAGTCCCAAATGGGAGGCTGAGGCAAGAGGATCAGTAGGTGGTATGGTGATTAAGGCACTGGACTCCCACATGGTCCTCTGGGGTTTGAATCCTGGACTTGGCAGCTTGCCTTTTCACTTTCCCTTTCTCTCTCTGTCTCTCTCTAGTGAGCACACATTCCCTATAGCAAAGTAAAAAATAGTAAGTAAAACTGGGAACCAGCAGTTAGCGTAATGGCTATGTCGCTGGACTCCCACATAGTCGACAGCGGTTAGTGTCCCGGACCCGGTGGCTTAAAACTCACGCCGGGCGCATGTGCGTGCGTGCCCAAGATCCCGAGAGGAGAATGGAGGAGAAGGGATTGCGGCGTGACCATCCCCCCCGGGGTGATTTCTCGCTTTCTGTCTCTACGTCTCTCTCTGTCTGTCTGGAGAGTGCATGCGCCCTATAGCGAAAATCTCTCCAAAAAAAAAAAAATAGTAAGTAAGACTAAATAAATTCTTTTTAAAACTTAAGTAAATTTTAAAACGAATATAGATGATTCTTCAACTTACTACAGGGTTACTTCCTGATAGATAAATCATAAAACAAAAATGTGTTTAATACACTGTATAGTGTCAGTTATTTACACTGATGATCATTGGGTTGACTGGGAACTGTGGTTTGTTCGTCCTCTCCTGCATTGGAAGAGAATATCATATTGTATACTGGTAGTTGGGAGAAGACCAAAATTCAAAATAGGAAGTATGATTGCTACTGAATCTATATTTTTTCACACCATCATAAAGTTTAAAAATCTTAAGTCAACTCATTGTGACCATCTGTACTAAAATTCAAAACAAAAAATTTTATTAATTTTAAAATGATGAAACTCAAAGTAAAATTAAATGACTTTAAAAATGGTTTTGGTGAGAACCAGCAGTTAGCGTAATGGCTATGTCGCTGGACTCCCACATAGTCGACTGCGGTTCGCAACCCAGACCCGGTGGCTTAAAACTCACACTGGGCGCATGTGCGTGCGTGCCCAAGATACCGAGAGGAGAATGGAGGAGAAGGGATTGTGGTGTGACCATCCCCCCTGGGGGGTGATTTCTCGCTTTCTGTCTCTCTGTCTCTCTCTGTCTGTCTGGAGAGTGCACGCGCCCTATAGCAAAAAAAAAAATCTCTCAAAAAAAATGGCTTTGGTTATGTGCATTTATGTTTGTAATATTTTACAGTGTCTTTTATTTAGACATTCAATAAATTCTAATCTTTTCAAGTCTTACATTCCCCCAAATAGATTTTCTCAGAGACTTTTTTTTTTTTTTTTTTTTTTAGAGAGAGCTTTTTGCTATAAGGCATGTGCACTTGCCACAGATTCAGAGAAACGGAAAGCAAGAAATCACCCCTGAGGGGGTATGGCCACGCCACAATCCCTTCTCCTTCACTTGCTTCTCAGGATTTTGAGCATGTACACACACACACACATACACACACACACACACACACACACGCCCAGCATGAGTTTCAAGCTGCTAGGTCCAGGACTCAAACCATGGTCAAATACATGGGAGTCCAGTGATGTAATCATTATGCCATATGCTGGTCCCTCAAATAGAGATCGTATTGAATACAAATCCAAGACACAGCTGCAAAAGTCAGTTGGATTTTTTATTTAAGAAAACTTCCTCTCAAATTGGCAAAATAACTTTCTCTATTCATAAATGCATTATCCTGATGAAACTGAAAAAGAGAAGGCAGTGTTACGTGTCATTATTGCTTACTACTCTCTCGTGCCTAAAGATCTTCAAATCATTTGATACATCCAGCAAGAACCAAATCCAAGGTTTGGAGGATATTTATATTCAGAAGAATTTCAAAATATAATAATGGAGAGAAGTAATAAAAGACAAACAAACAAAATGCATTAACAAAAGAACACTTAATTCTCTTCTAACATGTCATTTAACTCCCAATACTTCTCTTTTACAGTCATTCAACCCATTGTTCTATATCCTCTACATTTTCCAATATAGGTCATATTCAGACACCAAAATGCCTTAATTCTATTATAAAGCCTAAAGCATCAAACTGGCCATTAAAATTATTTTTATGCAAGTAGTAATGGAGGCTTTAAATATAACAGTCTATACACCCTGAAAGTTTTATGGTTGAAGTTCCTAAATTTATAACTATATAAAAGGGCATCATAGCTTACTGTGGTTCCATTGCTCAACTTTCAACAAGAAATTGAGATAATTCAATGGTGTAATTCTAATTCTAGTCTTTCTAACCTATTAACTTTCAACAAATAAGGCAAAATATTTAAGTTTAAAAAAATTTACCTAAGTAAAGTTGATCTTTAGAAATAATGTTTTCTAAGCTGCTTTTGAAGACAGTTAAGTAGGCAGCTCTACAATTCATATAAAATAGCTCCTCTTCTGTTAGCGGAAACTTCTTGGTTCGAGGACTCTCTGAACGCGTTGATTTCTGACTGGAGAAAGCTACATCACTTCCTGGACTGACGGCCATTCTATTAGAAAATAATTTTCAAATCTGTTTTAGTCTTTGATAATCACTTAAAATGCAAAAATCACCATGCCTTTCAAATGGGGGGGGGATTGAGACACTAAAGTTTTTATATGTGCAAAAAAAGAATAAACATTATACTATGTGCCTATGAATGTATTATATTAAACTAGAATAAGTCCTTAGCAGTTGATTTCTATTATAATTTAATATACATATGTACAAGACAAGTACAGACATAATATATGTTTATAATTGCTCCTCAAGCATGTGATAATAGGCAAAAGAATACAAAAGAAGACTCGGTAAGACAAAGGAAAAGCACACATCTATTCTCTCAAAATAAGAGGACAGACAAGAGACTTTATAGGGTTGTTAGGAGGATTAAATTGGTTAATATATTTGGAGCATGGAGAACACTGCCTGGCACATAATAAGTGCTAAATAAACTACAGAAAGTATGAAACTCCAATTAATCAGAATATGGATTTAACATGATTGGCAGTGGCACTCATCCCCCACAGCAAGATCAACACGATCAGTTCTTCAACATCTCAATAACGCAGACCTACATTTCAAATAGTTGAATGTTAAATTCTCACTTATGGCATTATCGTGAGGTTTTACTATATTCCATCATTAATGATAATATTTTGGCTTTATACAGCATCTCTTCTCATAAGTACCTAAAGGCCCCTCATCTATCTGGTTTCATCCTTACTACAGTGGTCAAATAATTTTTGTCCATTTTACAGATGAGGAAAACAAGGGACACAGATGTCACCTAGCTAATAGTAGGTGACAAAAGGCAGGGCATTTCTCTGTTTCTTCTTTGTTAAGGTGGATGAAGGGTTACTAAACAACGGTTACCACAGGTGCTCAATTGTGCTGGTGGTCTAATAGCTTACAACAATACTTTGCCCAGCTTTGACTTCTAAAAATACATTCCAATCTAACAAATTGAATATTTCAAGTTCAACAATAAGACGACACAGGTAGGGTCCCCTTCAGGACTCATTGGATTCTTACTCAGGAGGCCTAAATCACTTGCACCTTCTTGAATTATATAGGTCTTTTACACTTGGGAAAGAAAGATAATAATCGCTTATCATGGATGAAGTACCCTATTTATAATACACAGGCCGCCTGCCTGACACTTTCATATTATACCAGATTTAGAAGGACCCCATAGGGATGAGGTGTCACAGTCTGGTTGCTGCAAATTGGTATCACTGTAATTAAGCATCCGAGTTTTAAACACATGTGGGTGCACGCATCTCCTCACACATGTAAAAAGAAAACTGTTCCAACACAGAAGGAAGAATGTTCGCTTTCCAGCAAGCAATTTTAAAATGCGTGTATGTTTAAGAATCATCTTCCCACAC